GAAGCGCTTGATTTAACGTCGCGGCACGACGATGTTGGTCCCCTTTTTGGGCTACTCAGTGGTGGGGGTCAGACTATCCTTGAGAGCAATTTGCTCTATCAACTGCTTGTCTCCTGTTGTGCCTAGGTAATGCTTAGCCCGTTGTCCATTTACTTTGAAAGTGCGAAGTCCGTCTTCCGACTCTAATTCAATAGCACCGTAAGGGGACACATTCACAATTTTCAATGGTCCAGACCATTTGGATTTAAGCTTGCCCGGAAATAACTTGAGTCTCGAGTTGAAGAGCAGGACCAAGTCACCAGATTTGAATTCCCGTTTCAAGATCTTCTTGTCATGAACAAACTTCATTCGTTCCTTATACATGGCTGCACTCTCATAGGCATGGAGACGGAATTCTTCCATTTCGTTGAGAAGTATCATTCTCAGATTAGCAGCTTCAGCCCAGCCAAGATTTAACCTTTTCAGAGCCCACATGGCTTTGTGTTCAAGCTCCACGGGCAAATGACATGCCTTACCAAAGAGTAACCGATACAGTGAGGTGTTAATGGGAGTCTTAAATGCGGTGCGATATGCCCACAATGCATCCTCTAGCTTCCTTGACCAGTCGGTCCTGTTTGCATTGACAATTTTTGCTAGGATGTTTTTAATCTCCCTGTTTGAAACATCAACTTGACCACTCGACTGAGGATGATAAGGCATGGCCACCTTGTGCTTTACACCATACTTTTCGAGCAGCCCGGTAAAAGCCTTGTTGCAGAAATTAGAACCACCGTCACTAAGGATGGCTCGGGGAGTACCAAATCACGTGAAAATGTTCTTCCTTAAGAATGCGATCACACTCCTTACCTCATTGTTGTGTAAGGCGATTTCCTCAACCCACTTGGAGACATAGTCCACTCCCACCAAGATATATTTCATGCCATAAGAACTCACAAAGGGACCCATGAAATCAATCCCCCACACATCAAAGATCTCGACCTCCATTACAAACTTCATAGGCATCTCATGCCTTTTAGTGATTGATCCTTGCCTTTGACATTGCTCACAAGCCTTGACCATTTGATCCGCGTCATCGTAGATAGATGGCCAATAATAGCCATATTCAAGCACTTTCGCGGCCGTCTGATTTCCTCCATGATGACCCCCAACCAGGGAGTCATGGCATGCTTTGAGAATTGGCATTACTTCATCTTCCGGAACACATCGCCGAATGATGTTGTTGGCACAAATATGAAATAAGAAGGGCTCCTCCCAATAGTATTGCCTACACTCCCGCAATAACTTTTTCTTTTGATATGTTTCCAATCCATCGGGGACAAGGTCGCTAACCAGATAGTTAGCAATATCGGCATACCAAGGAGCAAATGTGTCAGACAATGCCAATATGTGCTCATCTGGAAAAGCATCATTGATATCAAAGTTCTCTTTTGGCCTCCCTATTTCTTCAAGCCTAGATAAGTGATCCGCAACTTGGTTTTCTGTCCCTCTTCGATCCTTGACTTCAAAGTCAAACTCTTGCAACAAAAGGACCCATCGAATCAATCTTGGCTTGGCATCTTTCTTCGCCATAAGATAGCGAAGAGCAGCATGATCAGTATAGACTATCACCTTGGACCCTAACAAATAGGCCCGAAAGTTTTCAAAAGCATAGACAATGGCAAGAAATTCTTGCTCGGTCACAGTATAATTCTTTTGAGCACCATTGAGAGTCTTGCTTGCATAGTAGACAGGATGAAGGATTTTGTTATGCCGTTGACCAAGCACCGCCCCAATGGCTACACCACTAGCGTCACACATGAGTTCAAATGGAAGAGACCAATCCGGTGTGACAATAATAGGTGCCGTGGTGAGCTTTTCTTTCAACTCCTCAAATGCTTTGAGACACTTTTCATCAAATACGAACGTAGCATCTTTTTCAAGGAGCTTGCACATGGGGTTTGCAATTTTTGAGAAGTCCTTGATAAAACGCCTATAGAAGCCGGCGTGCCCCAAAAAACTTCAGACACCCTTTACTGAAATGGGTGGAGGAAGCTTAGAAATGATTTCAATCTTTACGCGGTCAACCTCTATGCCTTATTTGGAAATTTTGTGGCCCAAAACAATGCCCTCATCCACGATGAAGTGGCACTTTTTCCAATTTAGTACAAGGTTTGTTTCTTCACATCTTTTGAGCACTTGTCTAGGGTTGTCAAGACAATTCGCAAAGGAATCACCCACTACAGAGAAGTCATTCATAAACACTTCTAGGAAATCTTCCACCATGTCCTATAAAATTGACATCATGCACCGTTGGAAGGTAGCCGGAGTGTTGCATAGCCCAAATGGCATCCGGCTAAAAGCAAAAGTCCCATATGGGCATGTGAATGTTGTCTTCTCCTGATCTTCCAATGCAATGTTGATTTGGTTATAGCCGGAGTATCCATCCAAAAAGCAATAAAAAGACCTTCCCGCTAGCCGATCAAGCATTTGATCAATAAGAGGCATAGGGAAATGGTCTTTGCAAGTGGCACTGTTGAGCTTCCGGTAGTCCATGAAAACTCTCCATCCGGTCACATTCCTTGTTGGGATGAGCTCATTTTTCTCATTTTGGATAACGATCATGCCTTCTTTCTTTGGCACACATTGCATCGGGCTCACCCAAGAACTATCGGCAATGGGATAGACTACTCCGGTGTCTAACCACTTGATGATTTCCTTCTTCACCACCTCCTGCATGGATGGGTTTAATCTTCTTTGGTGCTCCACACTAGGTTTGCTTCCTTGTTCCAATTATATTGTGTGCTCACAGATTCCGACAGGAATCCCTCGGATGTCCGCTATTGTCCACCCAATGGCTTGTTGATGTTCCTGTAGGAAATTCAATAAAAGATCTACCTGCACCTCATTCAACAAGGAAGAAACGATTACCGGTAAAGTATCATTAGAGCCAATAAATTTATACCTTAAGTGTGGTGGAAGTGGCTTAAGTTCAAGTTGTGGCAGCTCAATAATTGAAGGCTTTGCTGGGGGAGTGGCTCTATTCTCTAAGACAAGAGAAAGCTTCTTTGGTGCGTAAGTGTAAGACCCACGTCTTTCTAATGCATTCATCGATTCTATGTACCCCTCCATGTTTTCACCATCGAAATTTACCAATATCGCCGCCAAAACCTCACCTAGGCATTCTTCTTCCATTTTAATTTCACTTGCATCCTCTACCTCATCAACAACATCAATGACTGGGATTCCTTCATATGCATGTGGCAACTTCATACCCTTACTTTCTTGGAAGGTGACCTCTTCATCATTAACTCGGAACTTGATTTCATTTCATTCTGAATCCATAAGTGCTCTTCCGGTAGCAAGGAATGGCCTCCCCAAGATGATAGGGATTTCTTTGTCAACGGCACAGTCAAGGATCACAAAATTGGCCGGAAGGAGGAACTTTCCCACTTTCACTAAGACATCATCAATAATTCCCACTGGTCTTTTGATTGAACGATCGTCCATTTGCAATCTCATGCTTGTAGGTCTCGGCATGCTTAACCCCGCTTGCTTGTAAATGGTAAGAGGCATCAAGTTAATGCTAGCCCCGTTGTCACAAAGAGCCCTTGCAAAATCTCGCAAGCCAATAGTACATGGAATGGTAAATGCTCCCGGGTCTTCTTTCTTTTCAACGGTGGTTGTTGCAATAATGGAGCTAACCCGGTGAGTAACATTCACTAATTCATTCTTGGTGGTTCTTTTCTTGGTTATCAAGTCCTTTAAGTATTTATCAAAACCCGGCATCTCTTGAAAGGCTTCCACAAATGGTATGTTCACCGACAATAGCTTGAGAATGTCATAAAATTTCTCGAATTTGCTATCATCAACCCTCCTAGCAAGTCTTTGAGGGAATGGAGGGGAAGGTCTAGGAATTGGTGCTAGAGCTTTTGGTGCCTCTTTCCTCTTTACCTTTTCATGATTTTCTTCTTGGACTTTTACTCCTTTTGGGAGCTTTTCAACTTCAACAACAATCGGCACTTCAACTTGTGCTTCAACCTCTTACTCAAGATCATCTACTCCAATAATTTGTTCGTTTTCTCCTTGAAGTACCTCCCCGCTTCACGTGGTGATTGACATGCAATGAGAAGTTGGACCACTCCCATTTCCTTTAAGGTTTGCAATTGTGTCACCTGGGAGTGTGCCCTTCGGCTTTGGATATTGCTTTCTTGACAAATCTCTCATTTGCATTTCTAGCTTTTGTATGGATGCGGTGTGTGACCCCACAAGTTCGGACATGTTTTTCATTGTAGTGTCGCCTCTTTCTTGATTTTGCAATATTCTTTCAAGCATGCTCTCCAACTTGGACTCACTTGAAGAACCTTCCTTATAATGCGAGGAGTTAGAGTATTGCCCCTTTGGTGGAACATATGGGTTTGAACTCCAGTTTGCATAGTTGTTGTTGTTATTGCTCCAATTACCTTGACTTGATCCACCTTGATCATTGCGCCACTGTTGATGGCCTTACCCTTGCGGGTTAGGCCTCCATTGATTTTGTTGGCGATAACCACCTTGAGAATTATGGACATAGTTCGCCTCCTCGCAATCTTCGGTTGACCAGGGTTGCACATCTTCCACAACATTTACCTTTTTAGTTTTGTTTTTAGTGAACATCTTGGTTAACACATTAATGTTTGTGGAAAGACCGGCAATTACTTGATCTCTCTCTTGATTCTCCTTAATCATGTTGGTCAAAGAGGGAGTACCGTATTCAATTCCACCCATGGTATCTTCCGAGTGCCTAGCTTGATTGTGTTCTGCCATCTTGTCGAGAATTTGTGTGATCCTTATGAATGTTTTATCCATAAAAGATCCATCCACAACATTCTTTGCTATGGATTGGTTCAACGGATCCAAACCCATGTAAAACTTTTCTAACAAGATTTTGTCCGGAAAACCATGATTAGGCGACCTCGCTAGGTATAGCTTGAACCGATCCCATGCCTCATGTAGGTGTTCTCCCGGTAGTTGCTTGAAAAAGAAAATTTTATCCCTGAGCTCGGATTTCTTGCTTTGTGGGAACCATTTGGCAAAGAAAGCACAAACTAGTTCAGGCCAAGAGTGAATGGAGTGAGGTGGTAGATTTTGGATCCATTTCCTTGCCTCTCCAACTAGTGAGTACTTGAATACCCTCAGTCTTAGGGCATCATCTGACACGTTGTTCTATTTGTACATCGCACACACACCCAAGACGTTTCTAAGATGTTGTGTTGGATCATCATCGGTAGAATTCCTAAAAAATCCCTCTGCGTTAAGCATTAGGATACAACCATGTTCCACCTTGAAGGTAGCGGCGTCAACTCGCGGAGGGACAATGGCATTGGTGTCCTCGATGTACTCATCTATATTCGCAAAAGGATTTTCTTCTTCGTCATACTCTGCAATGTTTATCTAGCACACCAAGCAAAGCAAGCAAAGTGTGATGGAATAAAAACGTGAAGTAAAGCACACACTAAATCATAATTTCAGAACCATATTCCCCGGCAACGGCGCCAAAATTTGATACGCTCAAATTACACCTTAATAATTAGTGTAAAGCGGTCGATGTCAAATATAATAACCCAACTAGGTTGGGGTCGAATCCCAGAGGGAATAGGTGTGAAAAGGTTACTTGAGTAGTGTGAAACTTGACTTAATTTGTAATTCTATTCCGTTAGTTGAAAAGAATATTGCAATTGAGTGAAATGAAGACAAGTAGAATATTGTGATGTTGTGATTAATTTGATTAAGGAAACCAAGGTTGTGTCCCCATTGATGTAATGTCATGCTATCAGTGTTAAGATGATATATTTCTAATGGAAAGTCCTTTGATATGCAGATGGTTTCTAAGTGACTACCCACTATTTCCCAATAGTTGAGTAATATCTACTCTTCAAGATTTTCCCAAATGTAAAAGAGTTGCGATTGAAAATAACAAATTTATGCCAAATAGAACCCACTTATTCCTAGGCGATTACATTAAACAAGGGTTAAAGCCTTGAGTTTTTGGTATTCAATTCTACCAAACCCTAGCCCACTTTTCCAAGTGAAGATAGAGTGAAATGGAATTAGTTAATGTTTGCAACCACTAACATCACATGAATCATAAGAACTGAATAAATATCAACCAACCATTATATATATATATATATTCAATGGTAAACACTCATTAACATTACACCCATCTAGGGTCCACAACCTTAGTAATTAAAACTAGCTACTCATACTAAAATCTAAGAACAAAGCGATAAATAGAGTCATAAAGCTACAAAGATACAAGATTCTCTCTTCAAAAGTCCCCAAAACAATGGTGCATTCAATGCTCTAAAAGTAATCTCTTTTTCTGACTTTCTTTTCCACAAAAACCCTAATAAATCTATTTATAGTGGGCTAAAAGTCGAAGCCAAAATTGGACAAAAATAACCCTGCAGATAGTTTATGCGACCGCATACTGGTCGCAGATCACGTATGCGGTCCGCATATTATTCGAAATCGCCGCATAATCTCATGTATCCAACCCAGCTCTTGACCGCATTCCAATTATGCGGTCTGTATATACATTATGCGACTGCATATTCCTCCGTAAGTGCTTCTCAGCTTTCTTCATTTCAGTTATGCGATCACTATGCGGTCCGCATAATCGTTCTGCGACCGCATAATGGGTCGCATCTTTTTCTCTTCAGTTAACCAACAATCTGCTTCAGTCTGCGATGGGTATGCGGTCTGCATATGCTTTATGCGACCGCATACTTACGTCATTTCTGCCCTTTGTGGCTTTTTGACTTCTTTTACATGTTTTTGGATCCTCAAGCCTCATGCACTGCAAAATACCAAAACTTCATAAGAATTAACTAAAAATGCATTGAAAGATGAGCTAAAAAGTCTATGTAATTGGTACCAAATGTGCCGAAATTCTACGGCACATCATTTCATCCATTAGAAATTCACTATACACCACATGCCCCTCACGCCAGCAAGAAATATACCCCTCGAACCTTGGTAAAGACCATTGAGAACTCTTTGAAACCCATTTGCACATAACCAAGCTATCTGAACCGAATCTCTCTAACTCAACCCAGCCACGCTGGTTGCCAAAACCCAAGAGCATTGCCACAAAACACCTGTAGAGACTAGCCACGTCATAAGTACCCAAAGAACCGATCATACCCATTACTGTGCTAACCCAACCTACTACCACGTTGTCCTACTTCTCCAAGTCCCTTCCAAATTGCCTTTAAGTTGATACTTCTCCTTGCCGGAGCACTACGATCCTTAACCAAAATTCACCACACAAGAGGCCCTAGTATAAAACCACCACGCCCTAAGGCCCATAAGTCGCTGACTTCCTTCTTAAGCACCCCAAAGCACCACAACTGAGACACCCACTCTAAAGAGACCTTATGTGAACCTAAAACTGTTTCCTTCACCTTCTTGATACTGAAATGCACAATCCACAATGATATAAAAAAGCCACAAGTCTCAACACCATCTAATGCAAATATCAGATCCTATCCATATACCAATCCGAAATTCTCAATTGCTACATATAATTCTTGAATCTATTAGAACCATTCTAAAGAGTCATCCACTCTACCCAAATCTCAATTGCACCGACCAAACGGACCGAACGACCTGTGCCGTATTAGTACACCAACATCTAAGGGAGTAACCCACACTCCTAAGCAACCGAGCAAATTCCCTATTCCATGTACACTACATCCTTTGCGAATAACCACTCAATTATTTTATGATTCCCATATACCCATAGAGTGTAATACCACCCGTATTCAAAAATTCCCTTACCCGAGTCATCCTCAATCTCAACTTCTGCAAGTCATAACTGATTCACAAGTATACCTCAAATCGAATCCAATACAATACATAATCGTGCAATCAACTCGCCGATACCAGACTCCCCCACTTGGCTCAAATCCATAGATCAAAACACATAACTTACAATGCCCATACTCTATTACTGCCATAATACCGCAATGAGATTCAACCAAATCCTTCTTGAGCTCCTGTAACGCAAACCATCTAATACTTCAGATCATCTGCAAATCTCGCATTCGACCTTGTAATAGGCAAGCCAACTTCCACCAGAAATCCAAACTCAAACTGTAACATATATCATTCACTGGTAAAAGAGAACTCTCTACAAAACATCATAAGGACCATACAACCTCAGGAACCTCACAGGAGATAACCGCATGCTCTGCCTCAAACCGACATCTCTCTATACTCTTTCACAATCATAAATATTATGCAATCACTTAATCTTCCTGAGTCTGAACTCATAACATGACATGAAATATGCTGCACTCCACAACTAAACAACATGAGAGGTCCTTTAACACACCCATAACTCGAGGTCATACGCCAAATTGAGACAGAAATCAAACACCCAATAGTTCTTGCTACATCTCAAGTAAACTCTTCTCGTCACATTCAAATCATATGAACACATCTTGCAGTCACATCATTCTCATCACAAAGTCATTCTACTGCTCATCGAACCACAAGTTCCACTAATAGGGACACTATCGGACATATATATCCAAAAGCACGTGCTAACACAATCAACATCTCTGCGCTTAAGCCACAGTCAAAACCCGGCCTCAAGTCCTCCAGACTGGCCCATCATCAGCATGCCAAAAATCACATCTCACACCTCAACCATGGAATCAAAAGCCGGCGAATGCACAACTGATACCAGTGCTTGCATGCGCATACGAATGTGTGGAAGGAATTAAAAGAGTTACTCTTCAAGCTGAATCAATGCCGCACGATAAGGAAAGAAAGATGGGAAGTACATCCTAAATGTCTTGTAGCCTCTCGAAGATAGGTATGGACGTCATCATACCGATCCGCAAGACTCTACTAGACACTTGCTCATGACTTGTAGAACCTATAAACCTAGAGCTCCGATACAACCTTTTCACGACCCAAAATCCAACTAGTTGTGATGGCACCTAACTCAACCCACTAGGTAAGCCAATTAACAACTGTTCAATTTCCAATAATATTAATAAGGCAATTATTCAAAAGAAATATCTGAATCTAATACATTTCCCAAGAACTGGTAGTACAAATCACGAGCTTCTAAGAATAGAGTTTACAAAGCGGAAATAAAATAAATACATAGTCGGTTTGAATAGTACATAAATAGAGTTTTACAGATCTAAAGCTACCACGAACAAGAGGCAGCTACAACGCAACGTAGGTACATCTTCAATCCATCTCCCATCGAACACAGCAACAACAACAACCAACATTTGCACGCAAGGTGTGGAAGTGTTGTATGAGTACAACCGGCCCCATGTACTCAATAAGTAACAAACCTAACCTTAGATTGAAAGTAGTGACGAGCTAACAGAAAGGTCGGGTCCAACACCAATATTCCACAATAGTTCATAACAGTACAGTAACATAACAAAAGAAGAATTTCAGAAATAAAAGGCTCAGTTCGTTCACAGTTCCAGAAAAATAGGCATTTCTTTTTAAGTATCTCAGTAAAAATCCAAATCTTTTACCGAAAAGACAATATACAAGTAAGTTTTAAAAACTGTGATTTTTTCCAAAACTCCTTTCAATAAATAGTAAGGTGTTTCATTTTCATATAGCATGAGAAAAGTACTTCTTTATACCTACATGTCAAGATATAGGTAAAATCATAAATGTTCCCAAAACTGGGTAGCAGAAGGAAATGCACCTCTATGCATGTATCTCAAGTATGCATGTCAAATGCAATGCATCTCGATGATGAGCTCATGTGCTCACACTCTCAGAGTACTCAATCTCACTGTCTCATATTCTCTCTCACTATGCTCAATACACTCAATCACTCAGCGCTGTACAATACCCATTGCGGCGTGTAGCCCGATCCCTGTTTATAGTCGACTGCGCTTACTGGGGGTGTGCAGACTCCTGGAGGGGCTACTTTCAGCCCAAGCGCTATATCGCTGCGGCGTGCAGCCCGATCCCATAATATATAAATAGCCATAAGGCTCGTTGCGGCGTGCAACCCGATCCATATACATATACAGCCCTAAGGCTCGTTGCGGCGTGCAACCCGATCCCATAAATAAAATCAATATATCATATTGCGGCGTGCAGTCCGATCCCAAATTATCACTCTCACTCAGGCCCTCGGCCTCACTCAGTCATCAATCTCTCCAGTCTCACTCACGGGCTCACAATTTCATGAAACTAGCCCGGCAACAATGATATGATGTATTAATAAATAATAACTGAGACTAAGATATGCCATGAATGCATGGATATGACTGAGTATAAAATATCAATGAAATCAGTGAGGTGACAGAAAGAAACGACCACTATAGGTCCAAACAGTATCATCATAATGCCTAAACATGATATCTAGTATGATTGACACCTTAACTACTTTATCACAAAGTGAAAATACGGATATCAACAAAGTAGGACCACTATATAGTGCCATGGAAACAATAGAGTCCCAATTCACATGGTACATGCCCACACGCCCGTCATCTAGCACGTGCGTCACCTCAATACCAATCATATAACACATATTTTGGTATTTCATACCCTCAACACAAAGATTAGAAGAGTTACTCACCTCGAACAAGCCAAATACAATACTGAGCAAGCCAAGCGATGCTCTAAAATGTCATCCCGTGCGTTCCGACCTTTGAACGGCTCGAAACTAACCAAAAACAACTCAAATACATCAAACAATGCTAAAGGAACCAATCCCAATCAAAAAAGATCAAATCTTGAATCAAAAGCCCAAAATCGTCCAAAAGTCCAACCCAGGCCCGCACCTCGAAACCCGACAAAATTTACAAAATCCAACAACCCATTCAATTACGAGTCCAACCATATTAGTTTCACTCAAATCCGACTCCAATTCGATGTTCAAAACTCAAAAATACATATTATGAAACTTTAGGCCAAAACCCCCAATTTCCTCTTTAAAATTCACAATCCAATTACCAAAAACTAAAATAGATTCATGAAATATAACCAAAACCGAGCATAGAACACTTACCCCAATTCATATGGTGAAAATTGCTTTAAGAATCGTCTCAATCCAAGCTCCATAACTCCCAAAATGCAAAAATGTCTGAAACCTTCGAAATAGAGTACTTTATAATCTGCCCAGGCCTCCTCTTTCGCGAACGCGAAAAAACCATCGTGTTCGCGATGAACAAAATGCACACTGCCACAAAAGACTCTACGCGTTCGCGATGCAACCCACGCGAACGTGATGAACACTGCTGCCAAAGCTTCGCGAATGCGACTAACCTTACGCGATCGCATAGAAGAACGCTCAAATTCCCAGCTGCCAACCTCAACACTACGCGAACACGATCCTCCATACGAGAACGCGAAGAGGACTTGCCCCAACTCTACACGAACACGAGACATACTTCGCGATCGCGAAGAATAATTTGCTGCTGCCATCCAAATGCACTACGCGTTCGCGACACTTGCCACGCGAACGCGATGAAGAACTGAGATACCAGAAAATAGCAGAACACATCAGTATCAAAATGAAGAAAAACGATCCGAAATCAATCCGAACATGCCCGAGCCCCTCGGGACCCCGTCCAAACATACCAACAAATCCCACAACATAACAAGGACCTACTCGAGGCCTCAAAACACACAAAACAACATCGGAACGATGAATCATACCTCAATTCGAATTCAATGAACTTTGAAACTTCAACTTTCACAACTGATGCCGAAACCTATCAAATCACATCCGATTGACCTCAAATTTTGCACACAAGTCACATTCGACATTACGGACTTGTTACAACTTCCGGAATTGGAATCTGACCCCGATATCAAAAAGTCCTCTACCAGTCAAACTTTCTAAAATTTCAACTTTCGCCATTTCGATCCAAATGACGTGAAGCATATGCAATAACTCGCCTTTCCTGCATCAATACACAACCCAAGCCAACGCGTGTTGCATCGTAATACACTGTATATATTCCCGAACCAGATGGTAACAGTAACACGGGTGATGTAGTCAGTACTGTCTTGAGCTTCTAAAAGCTTGACTCACAATCATCGGACTATCGGAACTAAACACCCTTCTGGGTTAATTTGGTCAAAGGTGCTGCAATAGATGAAAAACCTTCCACGAACCGACGATAATAACCTGCTAAACCCAAAAAACTCCTGATCTCAGTCGCCGAAGTGGGACGATGCCAATTTTGAACTACCTCAATCTTTTTGGGATCAACTTTAATACCTTCGCCCGATACAATATGTCCCAAAAATGCTACAGACTCTAGCCAAAACTCACATTTAGAGAACTTAGCATATAGCTTTTGTTCCGGCAATGTCTGAAGCACTATTCACATATGCTGCTCATGTTCCTCCTTACTGCGCGAATAGATTAATATGTCATCAATGAAGACAATGACATAACGAATAAATATATGGCATGAATACCATGTTCATCAGATCCAAAGACACTGCCGGGGCATTAGTTAAACCGATGGACATCACCAGAAACTCATAATGACCATATCTAGTACGAAAAGCAGTCTTCGGAACATCCGAATCCCGAATCTTCAACTGATAGTACCCCGACCTCAAGTCGATCTGAGAGAATACCCTAGCACCCTGCAATTGGTCAAATAGATCATCAATACGCGGCAACGATTACTTGTTCTTAATAGTGACTTTGTTCAATTGGCGATAATCAATACACATCCGCATTGTTCCATCCTTCTTTTTCACAAATAATACTGGTGCACCCCAAGGCGATACACTCGGTCTGACGAACCTTTTGGCTAGTAACTCTTCAAGCTGTTCTTCCAATTCATTCAATTCTTTCAGAGCCATGCGATACGGTGGGATAGATATAGGCTGGGTATCTGAAGCCAAGTCAATACAGAAATTAATATCACGATTAGGTGGCATACCTGGAATATCTGACGGAAATACATCGGGGAACTCCCGAATTACAAGCACTAAATCAATAGTCGGAGTCTCTGCAGTAGTATCCCAAACATAGGCTAGATAAGCCAACCAACCCTTCTCAACAATGTGTTGAGCCTTTATAAAAGAAATAACTTGATTAAATGAACTAACATGCGAACCCTTCCACTCCAGCTTAGGCAATGCTGGAATAGCCAAGGTAACAGTCTTGGCATGACAATCTAGAATGACATGATATGGAGATAACTAGTCCATGCCCAGAATAATTTCAAAATCGGTCATCTCAAGTAATAGGAGATCTGCTCTAGTTTCATAACCACAGAATGTAATAATACAGGATCGGTAGATCCGGTTCACAACAACAGAATCTCCCACAGGAGTGGACACACAAATAGGAGTACTCAAGGACTTACGAGAAACACCCAGGAATGGAGAAAATAGAGATAACACATATGAATACGTAGATCCTGGATCAAATAATGCTGAGGCATCTTTGCCACAAACAGAAATAATACCTGTAATCACGGCATCTGAGGCCTCTGCATCTGGTCTAACCAGAAAAGCATAGAACCGAGCTGGGGCGCCAACTATTTGGCCTCCCCCTGGCTGACCTCTACCTCTAGGACAACTCCTACCCACCTGTCCTCCACCTCTGGGTGGTCAAACTACTGGTGGAGCAACTGGTCCGGTAAGCATAGGTTGCTGACCCTGCTGTACTGGTCTACCCCGAAGCCTGGGGCAAAACCTCCGCATGTGACTGGGATCCCCGCACTCGTAACAACTCTTCGGTGCGATGGGCTGCTGACTAAGTGTCTGGCCCTGGGGACCTGAATACCCACGGAAAGAACCCTGAATAGCTGGTGGGCGATAAGAACTCTCTAGTATAACACTGAAATAAGGTCATACTGGAGCACCCCGAGGAGGAAGGGTGCTGGATAT